TTTGTCATTTGTTACCAACATACAACGGAAATGTCTGTTCTGCTCCACATGGACTTTTGTAAGGATCGAGGGTGCAGTATTATGGCACCGATACTCCGATATATCTCCAGTCAGGTCGGAGCCAGTCTCCTCCACGGTACTATAGATGTAACTATACACCCCTATTGCCTCTACGGAACCCTCGGTTATAAAGGCCAGCGAGAATTCAGATCAAGTTAAATATCCTGCAGACGCTTTGAACAATGTGGGAGAGAATGACACCAAAAGCTATGTTTACAGTTGTTATGTATAATTTATGAAGGATTTTAAATGGAAATGTTCCTATTTCTTTTTAATAATTTACGTCAATTCAACAACTTGGTTTTATGATAAAGAAATACAAGGCAGCACTTTTCATTAAATCGATAAAATGAAATGAAATAAAAAGCCTCAATTGTATCGTATAAACAATGTGAAAAAAAGTAACAGGAACTGGGGAGCAGCAAAACAAAGGGTAGAGAAACCACGCAGTAGGAGAGACCGGAAGCTCCGAAAGATGGGCGTTTCCAAAAATACATGTGACATCCGCCATCGCCATTATTTCTCCCGGCAATATTATCTACGGAAGTAACGATCTAAGCCACTGTGAACAAGTCTCTTTAATGCCGGCTGACACTGAAATCCTAAAGTAAGAATTAGGTGGTATTGGTGATCGTTACATTTCTTCAAGGATGGAGTCTCTCAGTCAGAAATTCCAGGCTGATGATGTATTGGTTAGCATACTACATCTGTCCTGAAAATATTGACCATAGAACAAGGGCTGAGTTACAGAATCAATTGTGACATGGAAGAAAATTTAACGATCGTAAAATGAAAGTCGTGTAAGAATTAAGATCATGGAATAATAAACGTTCTTCTGCAATTCATCAGGACATGATCGAAAATAAAGCGCAACTTCCTAGATCACGAAAGGATGGTCCGTGGCTAGGAAAAGATGGTCTAGGACAGATAGATAGATACAATGCATGCAGGGAGGGTTATTACCTACGAGTCCGTATAACATACTCCATGATAGATACCTCGTTTTCATTTTTGATAATTTTATCGAAAATATTGCACAGACACTATCCTTCTAATCCAATATACACTTCTTATTATTGACACGTACTACCTGATGTTTGGAATATTGTGTCTGAAATGCACATCGGGAATATATGTGTCATTACAGACACTATTTTCGATAGTTACCAATATCACGAGTGACTTCAGAATCAATATTTAATTTCACTAAAAGATACAAGATATGTATCAATCAGCTATATGTATATTTGAATCGTCATTTATGTAAAAGTCAGTAACGTTTGTATAATAGTTTCTCTGATAGTTATTGTATTTTGTATCGTTATCTCTGTTAAATCATTTCATTTAAACTCATAAACTGAAAAAGTAAAACAAATACTGATGAACAATGTATATGTTGCTGTCTATATGCATTGTGTATGTTGTAATGCAGATAATATATATTGTAATTAAATATAAACTGCAACAAATATGGAAAGTTATTTCAGCTTATATCAATCATACTTGTCCGCTCGGATGTTAGCACATGAGGAGGGGGAGGGGGGGGGGTCTGTATGTGGGAGGAAACCGGAGTACCTGGAGAAAACGCACGTGATCGGGCAGGTGACCCCATTCCTTTTCACGTCCGATCGAGGAATCGAACCCCAGCCGACTTGGTGAAAGGCGAGTGCGATATCTACTGCGCCACCCGACCACCCAATATGTTGTGATTGATACACATTGCTGATGTTGTAACTGATTACTATATATAGTAACATATTGTAGTTTGTATATGTTGCAAATGATGTACATTGCATGTGTTGTAATGTACATCGTATACGTTTCAGTTGATTTACATTGTTAATGTTGAAACAGATGTACATTGTTCATGTTGAAACATATGTACATTGTTTATGCTGTAACAGATGTATATTGTTTATGTTGAAACATATGTACCTTGTTCATGTTGAAACAGGTGTACATTTTTTTTATATCGTAACAGATATACATTGTTTATGTTATAACAGATGATGTACATTGTTTATGTTGTAACAAATGTACATTGTTTATATTGTAACAGATGTACATTGTTTATGTTGTAACAGATGTACATTGTTCATGTTGTAACAGATGTACATTGTTCATGTTGTAACAGATGAACATTGTTCTTGTTGTAACATATATACATTGTTTATGTTGTAACAGATGTACATTGTTTATGTTGTAACAGATGTACATTGTTTATATTGTAACAGATGTACATTGTTTATGTTGTAACAGATGTACATTGTTATGTTTAAACAGGTGTACATTGTTAGAGTTGCAATTGCTATGTATATTATTAATCAATTGTTGTCTGTAGTAAATAACGAAGATTTAAATATAAATTATATAGTTTAATAATATGAATACACTTTTTGAAGAATGGTTTTATTTTGTTGTATTAAAAAATCAACAACAACTTAACAAGGAATTGGGCCCGAATTGCAGACTTCCATCGATTTTCTCTGTAACACAAATTCCATTACCCCAGTTATATCAAGTTCAGCGGAGCTGTGCACAGCGGTACCACTCAAACATGTCGCCTTTGAAATAACATTTGTTGCCAATTACAGGGAATGAAATGCGTAAAAGCTGACAATAGAAAAACGAAACACAGATACAATCATTATGAAATCATCTCAATTTGCCAGAAGATAGTTTTCAGATAGTATTAATTACGTGTTCGGGGGACGATGTCCTTGCTTTTATTATAGTGTTAACCAAACTTCTGTTGTTGTCATCTCTTGATGTCATATATTTCTGATCGTGGCCTAGCGTGTTGACGGTGTGCTATGTAAGGTCGTGGTCAGTGTTATGTGAACAAGGATTCACGTTAACAAAAATCACAACACGCAGGACGATACAATACTGAAGAGTCAACAAACCCATAATTTGATTGCTATGTTATTAAACTTGAGCAGAATATAGACAAAGGAATGATTACCTGGAAACAGTTGAAAACGTACAATAATAATAAGACCAGGTGTGTCGGAAGGTTATGCGTCTTCTGCTTTATCGATCACACAAATGGCCACCATGTAAATATAAGTCAATAGACATGATGCCACGTCCTAATAATGAGAACCAGAGTAGTGACAACGGAATAACAAGGAACAATAATAAGCTTAATTTACCAAATTTGCCTTCACATCGCATAGGAGCTTAAATATTTCCTTATGAAATCATGATGATGACCACCTGGGTGTTGTAAGTTTGACCATCACCAGTCGACATTTTTACGGGTATGAAATGTGTCATAACAAATTCACATAGTCATATGAACGCTGTTATAGAACTACAAGACGTAATGGTGTCATAATCAAAGCGGAGAAGGGATGCACAACGCAGTAGGTACATACACTTGGCATACAACGTGAATGTAAATCTACGACTAATATGGCAACGGAAAATATATATATTCTTTATATTTGGTCAAATTGCCATAAAACATACTTAAACAATGATGTGATTTGAAAATAATACAATAATCGGTGAAATAAGGAAACACAAAAGCGAAGCGCAAACTGTAGGAATCCCTGTAGCGGATTCTTACAAATGCATGCCCCCATATGTTCCATATACCGATGCAAAGGTTAATAAATTGTGGCATAGCAAAAAGCAAAGTCAGCACAAACAAATCGCAACGGTTACCAAGAACACAATAAAACAAAATGAAATACTTTATAAATCCATAAACTCAAAGGATGTATATCACTGGCATTCTAATACACAGTGAAATTTGTCATTCTTACTAAATACAATTACGGGTAAGTAATTTAGCAGTGAACAGGACACGTCCATCCTGGAAAGCATGTTACTAAGAACAGCATTTAGAGTAGCGAAACAACGGTAACATGTCTACTCCATCAGCAGGTGAGGAATTCAATGATCGTTATTAAATGGAGGATTAATCATTATTGTCGTATTATAATATCAAATTGTAAGCTTATATTTCTGTAGATTTAACATGAGTTCCATTTCGTATCTTATTTTTAAGAGTCTACAAAATTTACTTTATAATAATGACGGGCCAATATTTTCGATGAGTTTCATTAATATCCTATAAAATAGTAAATCTCTCTAACCAATTACGTAAATTATTTTACGCATCTCCCATTCTGTTTCACTCGTTTAAACTTATTTGGATTTCCAACTTTTCGGCCCCTAGTATCACCAAAAGAGTCCTAGAAAGACAAAACTGCTGTATGGTGCCGTGTAATTCATTTTTTGCATGCTGTATCTATTACCAAATTCTAAAGGTGAAGTACCATGTGTCTGTTTTAGGTTCATCTGTCAAGATACAAAGTGATAGACTGTGCTGGTGGAACCTTGATGGTCACAGTTACCTCCCTTGAGTCGTGGCAAGGTTCTCAATAGACACACGTTACTCGTTATTAATTTGAAAGAAAGCAGTACTTGTTATGTTGGTATCTTCGGATTAAACCACAGGATTTAACACAGACGAATTAAATCAGGAACTCCACATTTATTAATGGCTGCTCTCTTGCTTAACACTCATTGGCTAATATCTCGTGTGCCAAGGGCGACAACTCTTATAGACGTTATGTATGTAAGGTGTCACTACAGTAAGTATCGATCATAGTAGAACACTACATCTCTCCCCTTTTTAAGATATAAACCACTTTAACAAGTAATTGACTAGAATTAAAGTCTTTAACAAAGTTTCTGCTTATTGAACACTCACTTAGAACACAATTGTCGCTGAAATAAATCAACAAAACTCTTAAAGTCTCTTTGGCTAATTCTTAGGAATTATTGGCCTACTATAACTTGAAAATGTCACTTTTCTGAAATGTCTCTGAACCTGTACTACTATACTGTGTATGCGGGTATATTTTTGTACTGTATGAATAAACAATATTAACTAATGGCACATTTCACTCGTTATCTCTATACACTCAATGCATAACATAGTCTGTGAACTTTGCTGGGAGCTTGACATCTCTCCGGGGCCTGGATACCGTCTCAGATGGAACGTCTGGTGGCGGATCATCAGGAGGATCATCGTCGTTATCGTCCAGAGTGTCCTCCATGACTCTCACTGGACTTCCAGGATCCACAGGCTGTTGTTTCTCTACGACCTCTAACGACCTTGGATGACTCTTTTCATCATTGACAGACAACTCATGACTGATATTTGCGGGCACATTGTACGGTTTCATAAATGTACTGTTCCTTCGATAACAAACACCATTGTTCGACATAACGGTGCAACTGTTTCCGTTTTTCTCGATCAACGTATACGGTTCTGGACAGAACGGCGTACTGAATTTGTCAGTTCGTTTTTGTTTCACAAGTACGGTCTCTCCAACTTTCAGGTCGGATTCTCTCGCTCGGCGTTTCTCATCGATATACACTTTATTTCGATATTTCGCACTCGCGTCCTTGTCGCGAACTCCCTCATCGATCTGACTTCTTGCGTATTGTTCGATTTGAGGTAATTTCGTCCTTAATTTCCTCCCAAACATTAATTCCGCAGGCGAAACTCCTGTTGTCGTGTGAGGCGTCGTTCGATATGCGATCAAGTACGTTCGGATTTCTGTTTTCCAGTCTTTGGACTGCGCGTGTGCGATTTTAATTCGCTTCATTAACGAACGATTCTGGCGCTCGACTTCGCCATTCGCTGCCGGATGCAGAGGCGTAGTACGTCTATGTACTATTCCGTTTTCCTTCATGTACTGTCTAAACTGCTCAGACTTGAACTGAGGTCCGTTATCCGAGGTTACAGATACTGGTAACCCATGACGACAGAACATATTCTCCAAACTTTCAACAATTTTCACACTCGAAGTGTCCTTCATTATGTCGATTTCGTAATATCGACTATAGTAGTCCACAACAACAAACACATAGTGTCCGGTTGGGAGCGGTCCCAACAAATCAATCGCGAGGTCTTGCCACGGACCGGTTGGCAATTCTGTTGGTTTTAACGGTTCCGGATGTACCGTTGACTCGACGATCTGGCAGCCATGACACGATTTAACATGTTTCTCAACATCTTTGTCCATCTGGGGCCACCAAACTTTGGTCCTCAGTTGTTGTTTTGTCCCTACTATGCCTAAATGTCCCTGATGTGCAAGTTGAACACACCTTTCTCGCAAGGACTTGGGGATTACCAGTCTTGTTCCACGCAACACTAAATATCCGAGTCGACTTAACTCATCTCTCACCGGATAGTACTGCGGACACGATTTCTCCCACCTTGTAGAGCTTAAACTGTCTCTAATCATAGTCAGCTCTTCATCAACTTTCGACGCTTCTTCAACTTCGCGCGTTGTCAAAGCAGACGGAGTAGCCTCCCTTGCTACTGCATATATATAGTTCTCAGTCTCTCTTTCGATCTCGCTTTGACCTACATTTCGCGTGTCGACCAATCGCGACAAAGCATCAGCGATGTTTCCTGAACCTGGCGCATATCTAACTTTAAATCGGTACGGCATTAGTCTCATCACCCAGCGTTCAATTCGCGCGTTCGGTTTCGATCTAGGACCGTATAGCACTTCCAGGGGTTTGTGATCTGTCACTAGTTCATAGTCTATTCCCATCAGATAGATTCGGAATTTCTCACACCCCCAAACCACAGCTAACGCTTCTTTCTCGGTTGTCGAATACCGGCGTTCTACGTCACTTAACGCTCTACTCGCGTAGCCGATAACTTTCGAGTTACCGTCAGAATCCTCTTGAAGGAGAATCGCTCCGAGACCTACATTACTCGCATCTGTCAGCACAGTAGTCTTAGCTGCGTTCAACGAATAATGACCTAACGTCTCAGCCTGGGCGAGGCATTCTTTCAACTTTGCGAAACTCGCGTGTTGTTCTGGTCCCCATACAAACTCTACACCCTGTTTGGTGAGTATCCTCAGCGGTTCCGAAATTGTCGCTAAATTTGGAATATACCGTCCACTGAAATTAACAAGACCTAGGAAGCTGCGGACTTCCGACGACGTCTTCGGCGGTGTCGCATTTACGATTGCTTTAACTCGCTCTTCCGTTGGACCGATACCTTTGCCCGAAATCACGTGACCCATAAACTCGATCTCACTGAGCCCGATCTGGCATTTCCCTCGATTTAAGGTCAGTCCTGTTTCGCGAATCCTCTCTAGGACTTTCTCTAGACGCGCATCATGCTCCTCTTTAGTTTGACCGTGAACAACGATATCATCCGATATGTTCTGTACCCCTTCGATGTCGTGAAACACTTGAGCTACTATGTGTTGATATTGTTCTGGCGCGGACGTAATGCCGAACATTAACCGTTTATATCTATAGAGTCCTTTGTGAGTTACAAATGTTGTAATATTCCGCGACTGCTCTGCTAGCTCGATTTGGTGGTACCCATATTTCAGGTCTAACCGACTGAACACTTTGCTGCCGTTAATATCATATAAAATCTCGTCCGCCGTCGGAATCGGGTGTCTCTCACGAATTATGGCCTCGTTCGCTCTACGCATGTCTACACATAGGCGGATATCACCGTCGGGTTTCGGTACCACGATAACGGGGCTTACCCATTGCGTATGGGTGTTAACTTTCTCGATGATGTCGAGGTTTTCGAGCTCGTCAATTTTGTCACTGACTTTCTGACGCATACTGTACGGAATTCGATACATATGCTGAGCTACCGGTTGTACACTCTCGTTGATGTGAAGTTTTAACTCGAAATCCTTCAGTTTTCCAATTCCATCAAAGCATTCTGGGTATTTCTCACAAACGTCACTCGACGCGTTTATAACGTTGACACCAGGGTCAAGTTGGAGCAAACCTAACTCCTTCGCTGTTTCTCTACCTAATAGAGCTGGTCCCGCGCCATCTAACACAAAGATTTCCGTCTCTAAGACATTTTTCACCGCTCGGCCCGACCACAGCCGTTACAAATTTACCCAGGAGTGGTAATGGATCCTTCGAACCATACGAGTACAACCTTTTGTTTGTTTTCTCGGACATACACTTGAGTTTATTTTCCTTACGTTCATTCCACTTGATCTTGTCAATAATATTTACTGACGCACCACTGTCAATAATAAAGTCAACCAACTGTTCATCAACCTGTATTTTCACAACTTCGGACGATTTGACATCGTGATTTACCTGAAACGCGTATTCATCACTGTCATCATCTTCTCCATGAGGCGTTTCTCCAACCGCGTTGATTTTACCGCGTTTTCCCGACTTACCATATTTATGTCGACCACCATTATGTCCATAACCACCTCTCCCCCCATTAAAGTTTCCTTTGGGTTTGTTATGAGTTTTTGGCTTCTTAGTTTTACAACGTGAGGCGAAATGACCAATTTCACCACATTCGTTACACTTTTTGTCTCTCGCAGGGCATTGTGTGTCTCTACTCATGTGACCTGTGTACCCACACCGATAACAGATTGGACCGGAAGACGGACGCAAATTATCTCGGCTCGCAACCGCATGTACTGTTGAACTCGGGGTATGATTCGAACTAGGACTCTCCATTTTCTTTGCTTGTGTTTCTGACAGTTCCAAAGATTGGGCGATTTGTCTCAACTGTTCTAATTTCAAATCATCACCTCGTTCCAACAAACGCGTTCTCAATTTGTGAGATTTACATTTTTCAATAATCTGGTCTCTAATTTGTTCATCTTCCTTGTCAAAAGAACAGAGTTTGGCCTTACGACGTAACCTCGTTATAAACTGTTCGATAGTGTCATCATTTTGTAACATGTTTCTGAAACAATATCGTTCGTATGGCACATTGACTTTCCCCTTGAAATGTTTGTTGAGGGCATCGAGTGCTTCCAAATATTTCGAATCCCCTTCACCGTCTGGTAGTGTAAAAAATATGTCCTGCACTTCTTCACCGGCACATTGCAACAATAAAGCTCGTTTCTGATCGGCATCTTTAACACCTTTACCGTCAGCGAAAAATTCGAAACTCCTGACCCAACGTTCCCACGTTTGCTGTAATCGATTTTGGTCACCACGTGGTTCAAATTTCGACAGGTTATTCAGCTCTATCATTTGAGCCATGTTCGTTTTTTGTGTTTACTTACAACCACAACAACGGTATGTTCGATTTCCACTCCTCGTCGCCAAATGTTATGTTGGTATCTTCGGATTAAACCACAGGATTTAACACAGACGAATTAAATCAGGAACTCCACATTTATTAATGGCTGCTCTCTTGCTTAACACTCATTGGCTAATATCTCGTGTGCCAAGGGCGACAACTCTTATAGACGTTATGTATGTAAGGTGTCACTACAGTAAGTATCGATCATAGTAGAACACTACAGTACTACTCTATTTAAATACTTAAATTCTTATCATTAAGGCGTTTTACGTACTTTCCTTTCTATTTCAATATTCGTTTAGACCATTCTGGATTTCCAACTTTGTTCTTGCATCACCGTTGATTCCCTAGAAGAACAAAACGGCTGTATTGTTGTATCTATTACCAAATGTTAGAGGTGATGTCCCATGTGTGTGTCTTGGGTTAATCGTTATCACATTATCAAATTTTCGTGAGAATATTGCGAAAAAACACACTTTGTAACGTATTACTTTCACCCTCTTGGCTGTGAACAATGTAAGGTGTGTGGCATCTGATTAACCCTCTTGGCTGCGAGGTCTGAAGCGTTTGACAGATCGTGTAAGTTGTGAGGAATGAAATGTATGAATCGTTTGACAAAGCTGATTTTTCTTTGAGATACGTTTGACAAACCCGATCTTAAGTGAGGGGTAGGAAGCAGGACGGTGTGGTGTAGAGCGTTCAACAGACCCAGTTGACTGTGAGGACTCTGTGAGAGTTTGACGAATCGTGTTGGCTATGAGGACTGTAAGGTTAGAGGACTGAAAGATTTTAGAGTTTGACGGATCCCGTCGGATATGTGAGGACTGTTGGGTTGGCGGATCCGGTCGGCTATGGGGACTGTGTAAGCGTTTAACAGACCTTTAGGGATATGGGGGGGGCTGTACTTTTGACGGATCCCGTTTGCTATAGAGATTTTGTAAGCGTTTGACAGATCTTGTTGGATATGTGGACTGTACTTGTGATAGATCCCGTCAGCTATGGGGACTGTGTAAGCTTTTACCAGGCCTTGTTAGATTTGGGGGACTGTACTTTTGATGGATCCCGTCAGCTTTGGGGACTGTGTAAGCTTTTAACAGACCTTGTTTGCAATGAGGACTGTACAAGATTTCGGCTTTTGGCAGATCTAGACGGCTTTGGGGACATTGAGGTCTAACTCTATCAATCTTCTGTGAGGAGTATATGTTCTGGAGGGATTGAAACCCGGTCTTCTGTAAGGAACTGGACAGACCTGTGAGAATTGCATATCAGGGTCTTTTAAAAACTGATTGTATTTATTGTGCATTGCGGCCAGCCGAAAGAGAAAATGTCGCTTAACCAATTTTCTAATTCACAGTTACCTTTGAAAGTGAAAGGAAATAAAAACCACTGACAGATATACCTCCAGACACTCGCCACTATTAAGAAGCTAACCAAACGTTATATATCTGAGTTTTATTGGCTTAGATGATGTCATTAGGCGAGACGTTATTCCTGGTCCAAGTCAGGCTTGGCTGCCAATCCTAAAACTACGGCCAAGACTTGTATTTACAGGACATTAAAATAGTTCCTACTCCAATTTGAAAGCGTTCCTGTTGTATATGTAGTTGCCTTTGGATAGCATTGATCATGTAAATGGACGGTGTTGACGGAATGAAGACAGTTTTACGGCACAGAAACTCCAATTATACATTACGCAGCTACATTATACATGGTCTCTCAATAAAACACATCACTAGAACGTCATTGGTCAACTGTCCACACACACAATCAAAAAAGAGGAAATTAGGTTTAGATGTACGACATGGCGAAGGAAAGCAGCCTTTAACATTGATCTACAGTCTGGGCGGTTTAATTACTGTGAGAGCCTGTTCTTCTGACCTTTCGAACACTGGGTCGAGGGACTTAATAATGTAACATTAATAACATTACGTCTGCGAAAGACAGTACAAGTTCTTGAGATTATTATTTTTTTCATCTCATCAAAAGTATCTGGATGATGTAAGCACTGGGGTTGCTGCATACGTAACATCGTTGCATGCTTAATAAGAAAATCAAATCTGGTATGGTCCCTTAACAATCGATCTGCTTGCCGACCGTTGTTTCTGTGCTAGTCATTTTTCACAATGCGCTGGAACATTCTCAATTATCCACAAGAGACACATTATTTGAGAACTTTCCATTAAGACAACTAGGCGTAAAAAAATATCAGTATTAGTTACATGAATAACGTTACAGATGAATCGGCCGACTCTGTGAGGCCAGCGGGATCAAGGGGGAGTAACCATTTGAGGAATAGGGGATCAAACCTCTGTGAATCTAGGTTCAAGTGATTTTAAGAATTTGCGACAGGCGCAGATTTAAAAAAATGATGATGGAAAGTGTATAAATATGAATAACGGAAAGTCTGGAAGTATGAATGACGGAAAGTCTGAAAGCATTATTGACGAAAGATTGAAAGTATGATTGACGAAAGATTGAAGATATGATTGACGAAAGATTGAAAGTATGATTGACGAAAGTTTGAAGATATGATTGACGAAAGATTGATAGTATGATAGAAAGAAAGTTCTAAGTATAACTAACCGAAAATATCTGAAAGTATGATTGATGGAAAGTCTAAAGTATGACTCAATCAATAAGCTTCATGGATGTCTGAAAGTATCATTTACTGAAAGTCTGCAGGACTGACTGGTTGAAAGTTTGAAACTATATATATATATATATATATAATGACGGAGAAACTCGTGCAAAAATCCACAATTTCCATTATCCGACCATACTTTCTCGTTTACGTAAAGTGCCGACAGTTCCCGGTTGACTTCAAAGCAACGACGATTCGATGTAAGCAAGACATCGTAATGAAACGAAACATCAAATGAGTCAGACAAGATAGCTTGTTATACAAATACAAACTTCATTTATTTTACAATAATTATGAAACAATCAATATATAACTTTCATCTTACATTATGATAATAATTCGAGGTTCTTATATACCGCTTTATCACAAACCTAGTTCGTAGGTCGTCTCAAAGCGATTCACAAATTATTATCCGTGGTTATAGGGCCTTGACAACCAGCCAATATATTTATCAACTCCATTTCGGCGCTCACAGCTAGCATTCTACAATTCTAGCACTGCCCAACCACGTACTCATTTACAGCTGAGTAGACTGGAACAAGCGGAGTAAAGTATCTGGCTCAAAGATACAACACAGTGCCGTGCCGTGTCGTGACTCGAACCCGCAATCCTTCGGTCACGAGCCCGGCGTCCTACCACTAGACTACCGTGCCTCCTATATCAACCACTCTTGTTAGCCCGGATGTTAAACTAGCGCGCAAGGGTCTTAATGTGGGAGGAAACCGGACTACCCGGAGAAAACCCACGTGGTCAGGCAGGTCATCCCGTCTTTCACATTCGACCGTGGAATCGAACCCCGGCCGTATTGGTGACAGCCGCGTGTGTTGCTATCCACTGCGCCACCCGACCACCACAACAGGTAGTTACACATTGGTCATTTACTTTATATTTCCTAGCGATACTAT